TACGATCATTTTTGGCTTCGTAATGAAGAAAATACTGATGTTTTAGGCCACAAAGCGGGTCAGACCGATTTTCGGATTTTTGGAAAGGGGTAACATCATAAAAATTGACGAAAAATCTCAAAAAAATCACTTTTTGAGTGTGGTACACAGTTCGACGGGGAATTTAAATACGAATTCAACGAGGTATGACATTCCATGTTACGATCATTTTTGGCTTCGTAATGAAGAAAATACTGATGTTTTAGGCCACAAAGCGGGTCAGACCGATTTTCGGATTTTTGGAAAGGGGTAACACCATAAAAATTTACGAAAAATCTCCAAAAAATCACTTTTTGAGTGTGGTACACAGTTCGACGGGGAATTTAATTACGAATTCGACGAGGTATGACATTCCATGTTACGATCATTTTTGGCTTCGTATTTAAGAAAATACTGAAATTTTGGGACACAAAGCGGGACAGACCGATTTTCGGATTTTTGGAAAGGGGTAACATCATAAAAATTGACGAAAAATCTCAAAAAAATCACTTTTTGAGTGTGGTACACAGTTCGACGGGGAATTTAAATACGAATTCAGCGAGGTATGACATTCCATGTTACGATCATTTTTGGCTTCGTAATGAAGAAAATACTGATGTTTTAGGCCACAAAGCGGGTCAGACCGATTTTCGGATTTTTGGAAAGGGGTAACATCATAAAAATTTACGAAAATTCTCAAAAAAATCACTTTTTGAGTGTGGTACACAGTTCGACGGGGAATTTAAATACGAATTCAGCGAGGTATGACATTCCATGTTACGATCATTTTTGGCTTCGTAATGAAGAAAATACTGATGTTTTAGGCCACAAAGCGGGTCAGACCGATTTTCGGATTTTTGGAAAGGGGTAACATCATAAAAATTGACGAAAAATCTCAAAAAAATCACTTTTTGAGTGTGGTACACAGTTCGACGGGGAATTTAAATACGAATTCAGCGAGGTATGACATTCCATGTTATGATCATTTTTGGCTTCGTATTTAAGAAAATACTGAAATTTTGGGACACAAAGCGGGACAGACCGATTTTCGGATTTTTGGAAAGGGGTAACATCATAAAAATTGACGAAAAATCTCAAAAAAATCACTTTTTGAGTGTGGTACACAGTTCGACGGGGAATTTAAATACGAATTCAGCGAGGTATGACATTCCATGTTACGATCATTTTTGGCTTCGTAATGAAGAAAATACTGATGTTTTAGGCCACAAAGCGGGTCAGACCGATTTTCGGATTTTTGGAAAGGGGTAACATCATAAAAATTTACGAAAATTCTCAAAAAAATCACTTTTTGAGTGTGGTACACAGTTCGACGGGGAATTTAAATACGAATTCAGCGAGGTATGACATTCCATGTTATGATCATTTTTGGCTTCGTATTTAAGAAAATACTGAAATTTTGGGACACAAAGCGGGACAGACCGATTTTCGGATTTTGGAAAGGGGTAACATCATAAAAATTGACGAAAAATCTCAAAAAAATCACTTTTTGAGTGTGGTACACAGTTCGACGGGGAATTTAAATACGAATTCAGCGAGGTATGACATTCCATGTTATGATCATTTTTGGCTTCGTATTTAAGAAAATACTGAAATTTTGGGACACAAAGCGGGACAGACCGATTTTCGGATTTTTGGAAAGGGGTAACATCATAAAAATTGACGAAAAATCTCAAAAAAATCACTTTTTGAGTGTGGTACACAGTTCGACGGGGAATTTAAATACGAATTCAGCGAGGTATGACATTCCATGTTACGATCATTTTTGGCTTCGTAATGAAGGAAATACTGATATTTTGGGCGGAACATCAAAGTTATGGCTTTTTAGTTAAATTTGCAATATTTTCCCCCAGTGTCATGATTATAATTTGGTCAAATTAAAAGGCACAACCAAAAGGAAAACTGTTTTATGAAGCTAACGACCAAAACAAACTTTCTGTATCATTATTACGCTGATTATCAAAAATTTATTTTTTCTTAAATTTTGAATTTTTTGTAAGGGGTACCATCGTCATTTTTTTTGAAAAATTGAAAAAATATTTTTTGGCTTAGATTTCAGTGGCACTTGAATATTTTGAATATAGATTAAAATACAAGCTCAACGAGGTATGAAATTCCATATTCGGACCATTATTGGCTAAGTTATAGACATAACACTGTCCTCCAAAGGTTAAAATCTGAAATAACAAATTTTCGCACTAACCATACTCAAGATTCATTATCGGTTCATATACTTCCGCTAGAAGGTAATAAATAATGAAATAACGCCATTTCTCTTTCCTTAAAATAAATGCTAATAACGAAAACCAAAATTTGATTCATAAAGCTGTCACTCATGACTCATTTTCGCTCTCCGATCCACACTTTCCTCTTAAATTGCGGTTGGGTGACAGTTCTCCTGACCACAATGTCCATATACAAGCTGCAATGATGTCATTGCCCTGGCCTCTGCATAACACCGAAATAAAAAGGATCTGAAACAAAAAATTGGACAGCAGAGTTTCAGCGCGCTTGTTGTCACAGCAGACCCATCAATGGGTCCCCACACAATGCAACATTTTTAGAAATGCCAAAAACAGAGCCACACACTCAGACGCACTCGATGTATTTTTTTTACTCTGCCCTACCCTCTCCTCATCTAGTGTCATACAGCCATCAAAGTCCATTCGCGAACAATGTACGATGTAATTTTTATGCAGCAAACACAAATTTCTCTAGGGTGCACTATGTAAAACTGACAGATGAGTTTGCTCTCCTTTCCACCCTTGCCAAAAAATGGTGAAAAACAAAGAAAAATATAGAAAATGGGTATCCTGGCTGTGTGTAAATCTCCAATATATCATCCAAAAAAAGAGTGTGGACCCGGTAGACCAAAAATGTTAAGCTGTAATTTGCGGCAAAAACTGTTTATTGCACCAAAAAAAAAAAAAATGCACACAAAACTAACTTTGAGCTCAACTCTAACTAGGGGAGAAGTTGTGATTTCGTAATGACTTTCGTTGCTGATGAACTTTGACAACTTTGAACAGTCCGTGGACTGAATAAGGGTCGCATGTTTGCAGTCAAAATGATGGATATGGCAATGTAAGTTCGCTGAAAGTCGGATTTATTAATGGAAAATGAAGCAAGAAGATAGAACCCTTTCAATTATATCTGTTTTAAAGAGATATAATCCAGTAAATGCATATTATTACTATTTTCAATTCCAAAATCGTTATAAATTAAATTTTACATTCAAAAAGTTGTGATTTAATTTAACCGTTTGCTCCAACTTTGCCAAGTCAAACTCATTAACGCCTTTCTACTATTTTTACACCCTCTTACTTCGAAAGTTCAAAGTACACATGTACGAAATCTCAGCCAAAAATAAAATAAAGACTTTTTTGTACAGCTTTCACCCGACCAAAAGAACTTCAACCAAAAAGATTTCTATCAGCATCCAGCCCAGCATCCCGCCGTAAACCCCTCGTTTCACCACTTCATTCAGAGCTGGGGAAAGCTAACCAAAGTGTTGCACTTACTGCATTTAAATGAAATTAAACATATTTCCTGCAGCGACAAAGCCAGAATTAATTTGTTGAATGCGTTCTCAAAAGGCCAGGGGCGTAGAAGAAAATGGGGCCTCCGTGTATTTTGTAAGATGAAAGTTTTTCGCTCCAAGCTTATCTTAAGTGTGCTCCACGCTTTTGCACTCAACTATTTTTGCAATGTGGATGAGAGGCTGGCTGTAGGCAAAACTTTGCCGACAAATGTGGTTTCCGCTTCTGTCTCGCTTGTCTCCCTTCTCTCTGCCTTTCCCCCAATATAACACAGATATATATATGCTATATAGAATATATATATATGCGGCTGTAAGTGGCGTCTGAATCTTCGTCTCGCCATGGCATAATTTTCGCGCTTTTGTGCGCATAATTTAAATGACTTTTGAAAAGTTTCTCGAGTGCCGCAAAGCAGGCATTTCAGATAAGAGTGCAAGGTGTCTCCGGTCCCCATTTCCCCCCACCCCTACCCACAATGAATCCTTATTCCCCTCCTCAAGCCCTGTAATTATGATAATGTTAGTGTGCCCAAGTGGTTACCACACAAATGTGTGAGGAACTTTGGGTATGCTAAGGAAATATTGCGTATACGCAGCGGGTTCTCGGAGCGAAACGTTTTGTCATTCACAGTGTTGGCAAGGTTATTGTTTTCACTTCCTACTATTAAGTTAGAGTGAAAATGATTTATTTTGTTCCCTTTTTTTAAATAAGGTACTCATTTATATTATAATTTTTTGAATCTTATTCTTATTTTTCTTCATTTTAACTTTTTTTCTCTTACCTAAGTTTATATAAGCTATTCTCACAAATTTGCTACTTTCTCATCACTGCTTATCCAGGACCTTTTCTGATAAGTAACTCTGTGGTAAGCGGAGAGTTTTGGCTGTGCGTGTCGAGGTTAATTGCTGAACGTCAACGCTCAAGCTGCTGAAATCTATGCAAATAACATTAAATTATTAAACATTTTTCTTGTGCGGGGTCCCAGAAAGTGTTTAGCATATTTTGTGTGAAATTTGTTTGCGTGACTCAAACAATTAGTAGACGCGTTTTGGCGGTCTGCCGGCTCTGCACTTAGCGCAAAAACAGCCAAATATATTTTTATGATTAAATAAAAGTTTATAGATGAAACTATAGAATTTTCCAAGATTATTTTCAGTGCACACGTGTGTGTGTGCTATTTGGCTGCTCACGTAAATAAACGCTCTCATTAACGTTGTGTTTTTTTTTGGGGGCGCAATGAGAATTGCTAAAACCAACCGCCGAATGTAAAACACCCCAAAAAGAGGAAATTTGCATAAATGCGAGACCAAAAACCAAAAGCCAACAACATTGGGCATTCTTCCGTGTAATTGAGAGCTAAAATTAAATGCAAATGGTTAAATGAAACAACAGTTATTTATGTTCATTTAGTTTGTTTGTTTGGTTCGATTCGCCACTTTTATTTTTTGTTCTTTTGGTATCAATCAACCTAAAGTTTTATTGTTTAATTATTATCGCATAATTATATAACTGCTTAAAATTTAGTTTTATCAATCTTAATCTTAAACTTGTATAATTTAACTTAATTTCGGGTTTCGCTTTGGAGATTGTTTATTTTACAATAGTTTAGCATTAATAACTCCGATCAGTTTAGATTTGATTAGGAAAAAATAACAAAATGTACATAAAATATTAATAAAGAACTGGTCCGCCAATTTTAGGGAAACAAAATTTAATTTTAATTTACTAACAATAAACATTTTTCGTTGTAATGATAAAATAAAGAAACTATTTAAAGTAATTTCTGAAAAATATATTAATTATACAGTAAACACTTTTATAACTTCATTTTCAATATATTCCTTTTATTTATTTTACAAAATGCCAACTTTTTTATAGGAAAACACATCCGTTCTTATCTTTTTTTATTCGCACAAAAAGCTTAAACATTTTACGTTTGATGTTCAGCTAATTTTCGAAGTACAGGCAACGAACAATACAATTACTTTGTATAGGCTATATAGTTTTCATACATATATTTTTTAATTTATTGTTTTACTTGCCATGTTTGAGTTAATTATGTCTGTCCTAGCCTTTGCACAATTCCCTTTCGGTTTTTGCTTAATATTTGCCAGAGTTTTTCACTAATATATTCGTTATTATTTTCTGGCTGATTCAATTGTTCTTTTATAAAGTGAAATGTTTGATGGTTTAATTATAGGTTCTCATATTTACACGCAACTAATAGGGTCAACATTTTATTTACATTTACATTTAGTTACATCAAAAATGGCGTGACCTCAATTAAAAGGTTTTATTTACAATTATAACTGAAATTTTAATTAGCGCAATTTACTAATTAAAAATAAAAAATGTGGTTGCATATTGTAAACATTTGACAAGCAATTTATTGAAGCCCCCAAATGAACACTGAAAATTAGTTCATTATATTCCTGGCAATTTAAATAAATAATAAATGCATCAAAAAGTGATAAATATGGGAAAGGACAGGAAAACCTACGACTCCCTAAAGATTGGCCTTCCAGCCTTGGCCTCTCGTCTTTTCAGCTGCATTCATAATGCTTAATTAGCTGCATTGTTCGAGTTAACAGCACTCGGCGACCTTCTTTCTCCAGCTGCCCGTCCAGCAGAACAACGGGGGATGGGAAATTAAATAAAATGCATTAATTTTGTTATTGTCGGGTAACGGCGACACATCCAGGACTCAATGTTGATTATCAATATTTTCAACGCTCTGAATGTGCTTTTCTTCTTTTGACATTAACAATGTTAATAAACGAAAGGGCAAGGAGAAAGGCAATTTTGCATGCGGTTTTCCATCGTTCATTATGTTTATGTCAATGCAAACTTTATGCAACACAAGTTGAATTATTAAAATGCCATGCAACGTTGCCGGGGCATAAATACAGTAAATTGGCAGGCCTTTAACCTGCAACTTTTTCTCGTATATGTATATACATATACATGAGCCCATATGCAAATGGGCCATATATCTTCTGGCCTTAATGTCATTTTTCTTTGGCCCGTCGATAGCGTAGTGTTGTCTGTCTCTGGATTGGCCCTGGATCCATGGAGCCATGGATCCTTCTCACTCACTCCGTGTTCCCTGTTGCCGGGGCATGAGTTATGGCCAATAAATTGGACATGTTAACTGTGTGTCATTGTGTGGGGCCAGGGGACCGCAGGCCACGCAATTTTATGCTGAAATTAATGGCAAGTATTTCGCACGGCCCGGCAGCGCCAACGAAACAGACACGCGAAAGGACACATGGCAACGGGTCGTATGAGTAATAATATAATTAGCATGCGCATTTATTAAAAAGTGATGGAAGTGCACAAAAGCCGATGACGGCGCTGACGAGGCGGTTTCCGAAAGCCAGGAAACGGAATCAAGGTATTGCAAATTATTATTGCAAATTTTTTACCATATCCACTGACAGCAGGAAAACTGTTAAAACGAACGACATTTTCAAGGCGTTTAAATGTCGCTTGGCAACACGGCCATCGCAGCCATCGATGGGTGGTCTGAGGGAGTGAATGACTTGAGTAGTCGCCGAATTTTTCTTTCATTTATTTAATGGGAAATTATTGATGCAGTTTGGGAAAAGGCTGAAAGTTTGTCATGGATTGAAAGATGAAATACTTTTTGTTTAAGGTAGGAATTGAATTAAAATATTTGAAATTTCCTTCTGAAAAAAACCAAAATAAAATAGAATTTAAGCAAGGAGTACAGTATTTAAAAAATACTGGAATATGAACTTTAGATATGTCAAATTCTAAACAGAATGGACAAACATATTTTCGCTTTAAGAAAGCTTTGCTTTGGGCGCATTAAGTAAAACTTCAAAATTCCTATACCCTTCCATCTTGATTCTACATTAAATTTTAATTTATAATATAAATATTGTACAATTCATTTTTAATACCACTTTGAATGAATGATGTCGTGGCTTAGCTTAAGTTTAGAATTCCTTTAGTACTATACATAGAATGAGCATTTTATTGTTTTTGCAAAATACTTTTTCTGTTTTTGGTTTTCGTTTTTGTAATTTTACAAATTCCCATAGCTTTTAAGTGAGCCAAGTTTGAAGCATTTTCTGTTTGTTAATTCATATTATTGGGTTTTTTTTTGATATACTTTCAGCTATGAAATATGATGATGTACCTAAACTAAGCCCCACCCTGTTTTTCTAGACCCCCTTTGGCTGCATTTTCCAAATGCTTATTGTGTAACTCAAACGATTTATTGATTTCAAAGCAGAGTCAGATAGATTCCCGAGCCAAACAGCAGTGCTCTGTGGAGTAGCAGGCCAGCTAAAGAGAATATGATTTACATATATGGGAATTGTGAGATAACCAAGAAGTTTTCCAGACTTACCCACTGACGAGGCATACTCATTCGGTGGTCGTTCGGTGTAGAACGTGCTCTTTCCTATCGCCAGGGATCCCTTGGAACCCACAGACGAAAGACTATTGCCCGCCGTTCCTCCTGGCAATGCAGAGGTCTGCATCGAGGTCGAGGATGAGGCCACCGATGAGGAACTGGCCCCCGAAGATGATGAGGAGGCCGAACCAGGATATAAATCGTTCTTCATGGCATAGCCCACATCCGTTTGCAGGGATTTCGTTGTGTCGTTGCGTGACGAGGGTATGATATTGTCTAAGGATTAAAAGTATTATGATACAGTTTTTTAGGCATATACAGTAGTCACTCTATTACATTTCCTAGCTATTAGTCATTGAATAATATTAGCTTAACTTTCTTTCTTTCAAGAACTAAAATATTCTGTTTATTATTTGTTTTAACTTTTGTTAACACAAAAAACTTTTCCCAACCTTTCCTAATATTGTTTCTGTCTTACAAAATTAGTCTCCGAAAAGTTTAAAATTGCCAGGAAATCGACAAGAAGTTCACTCGTTTGTCGTCCACTGTTTGTTCACTTGTGGGTCACTATTGGCTAGTAAAAGTTGCGGACTCTTAAACAAAACTTAACCCCCAGCCTGACATGGTTTTCAAGTTAAATTGCGTGGAAATCTTGGCTGCGATACAAAAAATTTATATCGCCACACAATGGCACAAACTCACATATGTGCAACAACGACTCGCACACACACACACATACACACAAACAATAACATCCTTTGTTGGCTGACTCCTGGATTAGGTTCCGTTGCATTGCTCGCGCGCTGCTTTGCCAGTCACTTTAAATAAAATATGTTTGGTCTTTTGCTCTGCGCTGCGGGCTCTCTCCACTTTTCCAGCTCCCGGGCTCAAAGTCTGCGGCAGTGTTTCAAATGTGTTTCCAACCTAATGCCCCCGAAAATCCTCCTCCGTCGCAGCATAATCCCCAGCATATTGCTTTGCCCGGAGCCGGAGGACATAGACATGGACATGGGGAATGGGAATGGGAATGGGAAAAGGACACGGCCACAAAACCCGGACGGAGACTTGAAAGTGTGTGTACTTTTCTGCTCGACTTGAATTTCAACAGGAGCTGCAAAGGAGTACACTGAGAGATTTTTATTTAGTTTTGTTAAATAACAAAATTTGAAATATTTGTGATAATCTTGAAAATGTAACTAAACTATGGCTTGAAAACACTTTAATCTTTTTATTAATCCTAAAAAACTTTATGGGAAAAGTATCTTTCAGTGCAAAGGTGAAGTCCTTTTCTCTGAATGTGATTCAGAGAAGAAGAGAAGCGAAAAACCCCGTCGCTGAAATAGTCAAAAGTGCTTTACTTTATCTCTTGGTGGGCGTGTGCCACACCTCTAACTCCCCCCTTCTCATTCCCTTAGCGCCACCCTGTTTGTGGATCTGTCTGGCTTAGCTGCTACTTTCGCAGTTTTGTTTGTGGCTCGCCGTATCCTGTATCCTTCCCCTTTGTGTGTGTGTGTGTGTGAGTATGGTGTGGTGTGACTTTCACGCTCAACGCTGAATGTGTTAAGCGCAAATACGAAGCAGCATTCCGCACATTTCCCCCGCTTTTCCGCCCACTTTTCCGACTGATACTATACTTACTCTCCCTGGACTCGACTGTGGTGTGGGTCACCTGCTTGGATGGCGTGGATGGCAAGGGTATTTCTGCAAATGGAATTGAATAACATAGCATAATTAATAATTAGAAAGGCATTCACAAGAGCTAGCCAACGCAAAGGCGCCGCTCGGAAAATACATATATATATATAGTTAGAAAATTATACAAAATGGTTTTCCATTACATTATGTTGGCAGAATTTATGTCGGGTTGCTGTTCATTGGTTTACCATGTCAAGTATGGGGTTTCTCAAGAGCTAAGGTCAAACATACACTTTCTGAGCTTCAGCTGAAGTCGATCTCGACATAAAGTGTGCAGAAATTAAAGAACATTTTACTTTTAGTTAAAAGCTATGCGGGCTGAAGCCATAAGCCCAATTAAGCTGCTCAGTTTAACTGGGAAAAATCATAGTAATTACGGAAAAATACGTTGCTCCTTGCTTTTGCCCTTCAAATGCTGTGTTCTTTTTGGAGTAGAAATTAAAAGATAATTATGGTTTTTAACCTTTTATATATATAAAACAAAAATGTTCTTCACTCCATTTCTTCTACTATTAATAAACTGCATTTCAAGCGGCAAAAACATTCCCCTTCTTTGTGGTTTCCGATAAAGTCAACATCTGTTTTCTTTACAAAACTGTCTCCATAATCTATTGATATTGAATTTAAACTTTTTTTAATAGACCCCAAGGTAAATGAAAACAACCAAGAAGCCAAGTTCAGCGTGTGTTTGCGATAACCTTAAGGATAGTACATCTCTCTCCCAACAGCACGAGCTGAACGGCAACTTGTAAACAGAAGAAAAGCCCCCGAAAGCAGGTAAAGTGCATAAAAAATAAATAAATAAATGCAGCCAGAGTTCACATACATACATATATACAATGGATATGTACGATATATATGCTAGAGAGGCGACTCCTTGGGCTAGTAGCAAACGATACAAAGTCAAACAATTCCGAAATTCACCTTTATTTTCCGTTTACGTTTATGGTGAATGTGTCTCCGTGTTTGCCACGGGGTATGATGATACTGGGTTTTTGGGAGAGGGAGATTCGAAGTACTAGATACTGGAAATGGGGTGGTTAGAAGGGAAGAGGGGGAAGATAGGGCAAAACACCAAGAGAGCCACCGCTCGTTTAGTTTTACGCTCCAGAGGACAACGTATAGTGCACGTATAGGGTCGTGTGGATTCCGGGTCTATAGGTAAAAGCTTTTGGCAAAATTGTGCCACAAAGGGCGAACGATATTGCATTGCTAGGGGTGTGTGTGGGTGTATGTGTGTTTGCTGTAACTAGTGCACTTAAGTTACCAATACAAATGCACTTACCGTAAACACGTATGGAGCCTTCCGTTTCCCCCAGCGAGTTCTTCGAGATGCATCGATAGTTGCCAAAGTCACCATATTGTAGGTTTCTTATCGTCAGCTTCATGTGGGCACTGCAAAAGGATACGTTGAGCTTAAGGATATATCCATGGAATAGTTTTCCTCTAGCCAGCTTATCTAGCCAACTGACTTTCAAGGGGTAAGAGGGCTTTTGGCAAAACATTTGCACTTGCACCTGACCCCCAAAAGGCAAGTGCAAATGCATGATAAATATTTAACAACACAATTTTCGATGTTAGAGCTTGCAGTTTGTTTTTATATATTCCTTATTCTGTTTTTGTTTTAAAGTGACTTACCGATAGGAATTCTCCGTGTAGTCGGTTTTATATTTCTTGCTTGGCAATACCATCACCGAGTTGTATACCCAATAGATGATGGCTCTGCAGGGAAGGAAAAAATACATTTCAGCACTGCCATTTAAACTCAAATCGAATGTAAACGAAATTGTGATATATACACACACACACACACACACACATGTGAAAATAAGAAAACTAATCAATTCGCAAATGAAAGTAAATATTTTAACAAAATCAAAGGGAAAACGAATGAACACAGTTCAGCAGAGAGGGGACATCCACAGATTCACATCAACTAACTGCAATCAGAAGAAATGTTAAATCTGGGAAATCCAATAAAATGAAATTGAACTAACGGGGATATTGAATAAACCAAAATAAGTTGATGAATATTTGGATTTTTTGAAGTTCATTGGATTAAAAATAAATTATTTAATGGAAAAACCTTAGCAAAGTTTATAAAGTTTACAGCTTTATTTGAAGTTAAGAATGCATTTTACAAGCATTTAAATACACAAAAATATTTTTTAATTAAGTCTTTCTTAAGACTTTTATTTACTGACTAACAACTTGTACCCAAAATTAATTAAAAAAGGATATGCAAGGGAAAAGTCAAAATAAACCTCCCTCAGACACACCGCTTAAAAGTATGCTACATAAAAATGAACACGAAAAACTAAAGTGAAATGAAAACTAAAAGCAGAAGCAGAGCAATCTGAGGAGACTCACTTGGGATGTGCCTCCGTGTGGCAATCGATGGTTACATCTGTGCCGGATGGAGCGCCAACAAGTTGATTCGGCACCCAAATCATAGGCGAGACTGAAGAGAAGAAGAGGAATGGAAATGGAAAAATAGGTTGATATGGTACGTTAGCAAATGTAAATGGCACCTAAGGGAGAAAACTCAGGTGGCAGGTAGCAAGGTAGAGAGGAAAAGTGTCGCTGGAAAGCACGCATAAGCGCCCGAATTACGCCTGTTCAACAATTTCCCAGTCTGACTATCTGTTTTTTTTTTTGTTCGCCAGCTTAAAATGAAAGTGCAATGACAAAGCTGGAAAACTTAGACGAGAGAACGCAGACAGCATGTAAGTGGAGCGATATATAATATGGCTAAGACAACACGTCAGCGAAACAAGGGTAGCAGCGAAAGAAATTAAGTTTAGCGGGAAGTACGTGCTGCGGATGGGTTTGTCACTGTGTTTCACTTTGCTTATAGAAGAAGTTTTAAGTACCTTTACGTTTATTTTTAAGAATTTATTACTTCCTCTTAGTTAAAGAATAGGTCAAGGGTTATTCTCTTCCAAAAGTTCTCAAACTACGTTTAAATCAAAAAGAAGCTGAGAAAATCCTGAAAATATCGTCATCGTTTCACTTTAACACCAAACTAAATCGTTTTTGCTTTTGCCTCAAGTTTTCACCGTACAAACTTAACCCATTTCGCCCAGCCCTTAACCCTAATCGTTCAACATCAGTCTTTGTCTCCGTCTCAATATATTAAGCCTTCCATCTCACTTAACACAAAATATGTGCGCTTTTTTTTATTGGAAGCCAACCTCAACGAGTCTGTATATTAGGTTGTGCATTTGCAGCCACCCAACTCTGAACGTGAAACCGAAACCGAAAACCCCTTTTCCAAACGAACAACAAAATTGAAAGGAGCAACGAGCTAGTTGGAAATTTTAAACGCTCCTGACAATGCCTATACACCTGCAATATGAGGTTTCTGCTGCTCCCGCCCCCTTTCAACGCCCCCCTTTGGCTCAGCCACGCACAAAACCGTTCATAATAAAATAGAGAGAAAAATACACAGGCAGAGAAAAACGCCGTCAAAGTCATACGTGCAACGCCGGCAAGTGACTTTATTGCAGGTACGTGACGTGAATTATTGTCAAGGGGGGGTTGGCTGAAATTGGTGGATCAGGGGCGTGGTCAGGGGGCAGTTAGGTGGGCGGAGAGGAGATGGGCAAAGGCTGGCTGAAACTCGTTAGGATTAACAAGCGTTTACTGGCGCACGGCGTGCAATGGCAGCGTAACTTTTACGCCCAGCGACAGGACACCATATCTCCTTTTTCCAAAATGGCACTGAGAGAAATTTAAAAAAAGTAATCCAACATATTCCCTTCTGTTAAAATCTAAGTTCAAACAATTTCTTCCAGTGTATTCTATACATGTATCCGCTGTTATATATATCGACTGCATTAGATGGCGGCAGCTTAGCTGCGTTTGTCACTCATTGCCAGAGCAACGAGCGTGCAGTTAAATTGATGAGCAGCAGGTACAAACAGGAGGCGATGCGCAGCTCCATGAAGGAATATGGCACGAAAACCAGATAGCTACGTTGGCTGGTTGGGTGGATGGCCTGGATGGATGCCAGTAAGCCGGTATGGCCGGATAGATAGATAGATAGATGGATATCCTGGCTGGATGAATGGCCTCCTCGCGTTCCGGTAAGTACTAGCGCGTGTTTCAAACTAAACTGACAAAGACAGCCAACTACGGATCTAATATAATATGCACCCTCCTAAAGGATTCTCCCTCCCCTGGATTGGCACAGTTTTCATTTCTCATTTAGTTGAGGAATCACCCTAACATGGAAGAGGGGGGGTCATGGAAAAGGGAGGTCATGGAAGAGGGAGATTAATACTCACACTCTACGTCGAGAATAATCCGCTTGGATACGGAGGGCGGTACTCCATTGGTGGCGATGCATAGATAGGCCCCCATTTCATTGCGACTCACTTTAGTCAGCGGCAGGACATCGCCATCGTACACAAGGACTGTGGTTTGGCAGGCAAATGTGCGGAACATGAAAATATAGGTAAGAAAAGCATTACGATTTTGTATATAAGAACCAATTGATCATCTTTCTAATTGCCTGAAAAGAATCTACTTTTTTTTTTAAATTTGTGGAAAACAAACTTGAAAATCAACCCAAGTCACTTTATTTTTCCTTAACCTTTTCCCCTTTCATAAGACTCACCTTTTTTCTTTTTCTCGACAGCAATTTCCTCGCCATCCTCACGCCGCCAAATAATTTTCGGGGCCGGGAAGCCATCGGCCCGGCATGTCATGTTGATGTTTTGATTTTCACGCACTGCCACCGACGACGGCGTACTCTCAATGTCCAAAATGTTTGGAGGCACTGTTGGCAAATGGAAATTCCATTAAAATCTGGTTGACTAAACAGGCTAAATGGGGGACTGTGGGTGTATACTCACCTACCACCTGTAGATAGCCAACTTGGCTAATCATTGGATTCGTGTTGACCTGGCACATATAGTAGCCGCGATCATCCTGATGAGCCTGATTCACGTGCAACAGCCACGTGTTGTCCGTGTAGGTGATGCTATATCTGGGTATCCTGGATATCACATGCCGGTGGATTGTCAGTATCATTTGCCTGTCAATATGAATCCAAGCCACCTGAAATTTATTGGATCATTTTCAAAATCAATACCCATCACTCGCTCAACATTTCCTTAAATGTCGAAAGGCCTTTAGTCATTCCTTAAAGACCCAACTATCCAGACTTCAAGCTCGATTCTCATGCTAAAACACATGTGGAGACCCTGCCATTATAAATGAACGTCATGTTGTGACGCAAGACCCAAGGATAAAGCCAGTCTGACAGCTGTTTCCGCATTTTTAATACACTTTTTTTGTTCCTTCTGTTCGCACTTTCTTTGGCTTTCCTTTTGCCTTCGCAACAGGAAGACAAGATACACAGAGATTACAATCCTGAATAATTCAGGGCTTTTGTTTAAATATTTTAAAACACGTTGGCGAAGATTTATAATGGTTTTACTATAACTACAGTTTTAGATCATAATATACTCACATTTTTAACCCTTTAAATACAAATTTCCCCCCCTTAAAGCCTAATTTGCAATCATTTTTTTGCACTCTGTGATATGGAGACGGATTCTTTCTGGTGGAAGGATTTTCCCGGCCTTGAGTCAGCTGCAAACTTTTCAAATTTGCCCTCAGCACAGGCACTGACAGCAATGAGTTTCTCGCTTTACTGTCCTCTGCCATTTTCCTCATGTCCAGGCCAATGTTGACAAAAGTCCAATAAGAGCAAGGAGCAAGGACTTGGCCCTGTTGGTCCTGGGGAGACAGTGTTTTATATGAAGTTGATATGGCGAGTAAATATTTGTGATTTGTTATGAGCTCGCTGTGGGCCAGCAGCTGAGGGAGATAAATGATAAGTGATTTTCTAGCCATTTTGTTTGGCCAAAAGAGAGAGAGAGAGAACACCGGAGGTCCTCTATCCTGTCCAGAGTGTATCCTTAGCTTATTGTAGATTACTTGCATATATGCAGGCAGCCCCAGCCAAGGCTCATAAATTGTGTCTCCAGGCAAACAAAAGTTCGACTTGCTAATGACAGCTAAAAGTCATCGACCAGTGCGCTCAGAATTTCCATTGTGTTTTGTAGTATTATTATGAGCAGCCTCCTTTATCTTTAACTGCCAATTGAGTGCCCAAAAAGTCTGACATTCTTCCCAGCTGTCAGTTAGTCATGCAGTCAGTCAGTCAATCGCTTCGGTCCTTTTACAATTTGTGAAATTGATTTTTGACAGTGCCGGTCTCGATTGCAAACTCCTTCATCAAGTGACCGAGCTTCGTCCATGGCGTTCACTTTACGCACGATTTATGACACTTTCCTACCAGTTTTCTCTACCTCCCAAGGGGGTTTCTCCTTCCTGAATTTTCCAATTTTCCCTACTTCTCACCTTGTAGCCGCCCAAGTGCTCCACAACACAGGGCAGATTGGCATCTCGACCCACGGCGACGGTGACGTTTGGTATCGGCTGGGCAAAACGTGGCTCATCCATCATGACTGCGAATGAAAAGTGGCGGGGAAAGTCAGTTAGTTAATGAGTGAAAGAGTCAACTGAAGAAACCTAATTCTTCGCCTGTCCAGAGAATTTTCCTCTGGCTATAGACGTGGCTGAGTAATGACTTTAATAATGCTCGAATTACGATTGTAAAAGGGTTTCTGGGGAGATAATTGAAAGCTTCGGATAACTCATTACGCGGAAAACTGAGCCAGCTGGCTTGGATTGAAATAGAAAATATTTTGGAAAATAAAAGAAGGTCCTTTAAACTGGTAAGCATACTTCGGCCAACTTTAGACTAAAATATTCACACAGTTTTCGTAAATGAATTTATAAATTAAAGTAAAACTTAAGCTCAAGAATTCCTTTCAATTCTTCCTTAAACTTTCACAACACTACTAAGCAAAGTTTGTGCTAAAAATAATTGGTGAAAAACCTCTAAGTACGTATGAATAATTTGTATGGAAGACAAGCTCGAGAAACCATCTCCTGCCATGGAAACCATAACGAAGTCATTAAAGCCCAGCGGAGTGTGCCGGGTAATAAAAATAAAGAAGTGCAAATGTTGATGGAGGAGCAATAGCAGCTGTTGCCGGAAATCCCTGACCCACAGGCCAAATATAATCAACAGCAGCTACAGTGGCAACCGCAGCGTCATTATGAAATAATTAAACAAAGCAATTTTTTATCTGGCCAGGAGGAGTGAAACGTGAAGGGTGGGATGGTTCGAGCCAAATGGCAGCACGTACATTCTGCCTGTTGGCTGTTGGGTCTGCCTGATGCAACTTTTGTTTCTGGTTTCCTTTTCTATACATTCAGCTCGTGTTCGTGACGCTGTCTTTGCAGCGGAAGTGCTGCACAAAAAGCAAAAATAATATAAACACTACTTCACTAGCCAGCAACGACTATGGGATACCTGGCTTATGGCTTATACGTCGTGAAGTTTAGGTATTCCTGATCATGGGGTTTTTATAATTTTACTTTCTACAAATTCTTTGCCTACTTATGGGAGCTGAAATCTTCTTCTTCATTAGAAAATAATATTTTATTTACACCCAAAAATATAGTTAATATTCACCTTTGTATTAAAACATATTAAAATTCTTGAACGAATATTATTTCTCTAATTTATTATAGTAATAGATAACCTCCTGATATCCAACATACCCTTGTACCCTACCAGCTTTGTGTATAAAAAACATGGTCTTCCTCCTGGCCACGTTGATGGTAGCCGTGTTGCCGTGTTATCTGCGTCATGCAGTCGGGGCACAACACTTTCCCACCAAACTCCCGCCCCCTTCTGGCCGGTAGGCACCAGCATTGCACCTGTCTCACGGTTCACGGCTTTTGCCTGCGTTTGTGTTGGAGTTTTGGGTTCGCAGCAGCGAGGACAAGCGGCGTTGCCAACGTTTGGAGGTCTCATTTTCTTAATTAAATTATGGCCAGATCTGACAGTTTCAACATGGGAAACAACACGTATTCGGTGGCAGGAAATATGAGCGTATGGAAATGGTAATTAAAGATTTTTAAAAGGAAAAAGAAGTAGCCAATAAAAAGTATAATAAAAAAACTTTTAAAAACACATAAGTTAAACAAAAGATATTATCTATTTTCTATTATTTATTTTAAAGTCAAATAGGCAAGACTAATCCCTGATGAAATTTATTAAAGCCAAATGTAATCTTCGACTAATCCCAAACTAATCCCCATATTAACCAGCTTATATATTTCAAAACAAATTTTTCTAGAAAAAAAATACAATTTATTTAGTTAATTTAAATGAGTTGAATGTTATTCCCATAGCTTTAGCATATAATTAAAATGAAAATCAATAAATTAGCAAATTTATGCTTACCGTGCGTCACCAGATTTGTCATGTAGATGAGAAACATAATCCGTCGGTTTGTGAAGCGACTGGGAAATATATTCAATGCTATCAGCAGCAATTTAATCACCGTTAAAATAAACATTTTATTATTTTGGCTGTTGTTCCGTTATTGTTTAATTCTATGTTTAATTTTATCTATGCTTGCTGCTAAATTTATTCGTTGAATTATTTACACTGTAGTTGCTGAATTTTGTACAACATTTTCATTGGATTTTTTCTCTATATTTATTTTTATTTCGGTTTTCGTTAAAACATTTATTTGATTTGAGTAATTTAATTTGCACACACAAGCGAACACTTTGGCAATTCAAATTTCATTTAGCGTAAAGCTTTAAAAATCGCTTAATTCACTTCACGCGTCGAATTGCATTTGCCCATTGTAACTGCTGTTGTTGTGGTTGTTGGTTTTGCCACAGTTATTGTTGTTGTTGTTGCTATAGTTGTTGCTGCAGACGAAACAATGAAAATGAAAATAAAAATACAGCCAACACACACACACACGTACTCATGTGGAGAAAGCGGAGAAAAGGGCCGTAGAAATGGCCACAGAGGAGCGCCGATTTCAGGGGATTATGGCATTTATTATTATTACGGCAATGGTCCTGCTAGTTGGCATTGTGCTCTCCTGCCGTAACTGTTGTTGCCTGGGCTTTTCAATGTTGTATGTTGACTACAACTTACAACACCAACAGGCATAGGTAAAGGAATCGAATGTATAAGTACCCTAGAAGTTGCCAATTGAAAATCTTTTGAAAAGATTTTATCCACCCAATTTAAATGGAAATATAATGAAAGTTTAAAACAAACAAGTAGAAAGCATAAAAGTTTCAATTATTAAAATCTGAGAACTATACTGATCTGTCTCTGGGGACTTTTTCGAATGATTTCCAAGTACTGTAGCATATTTCAAATTGCAATCATGATACCCACGTTACTGCACAATGGGCGTACGCAATGCAGTTTGGTTTTCATCGAGTTGGCGGGTTACCCCTCTGCTATAAAAGGGGTTATGACTGGTCGGTTGGTTGTTTGGCCCTGGTTGGTTGTTTTTCGGACTCTCGGTTTGCCAAGTTCATTTGCCCTTCTCTCTCCCCTCGCCTTTGCCCACTGCCAATGCAACATTTATTATTAATAGCACTTTATTCCGGTCAGTCGACGTTCATACGCGAATATGGCCACGTATGAATGCGTTCCATTGATGTTACTATTTTATGGCTCCAGAAATGCATTTCACGACGATGGATGGCTGGCCAGCCAGACCAGGCAGTAACGGCTGTGTCATTGTAGCAGTTACTTTTATGTTTAACGTCATGGTGACCGCTGATTTCTGTTGTTACTGTTGTTACCAGCGGTATATGACGACATTCCCATTGCACTTCAATTGCCTTTGTTGCATTTTTGAAAAGTTTTTTTATGGCCGAATATTCACATGGGAAAAGTTGTGTTAACTTTATTGCAGGAGAATGTTTGTGAAAAGTAATCAAATTTAAAATGCATTACAAGGCAAGATGATTCTTTTTAAGCTTAAGATTAAACTTTAAGTAGTTAATTTCGAAATGTGAAGTAATCCCATATCCTTTTCCCTTCTGGTTTTTCCACTGAAATGCACTTCAACCCACTGGTTAGGCTGACATTTCAGCTTTACTCTTCTGACTTCGCGAACAATTTCGCAAAATGAAATATGAATGAACATTCCATATCAGCTTCCTGCATTGCCAGACTCATCCTGACTTCCCGCCCATCCTCACAGCCATCCTCTCCAGCGGCCGTGATTCAGTTGATCCACTTACCCAACTCAACTGAGTTGGCGCTTCGATATATAAATATTTCATCTTGCCCAAAAAATAAAAGCAATAAAAGTTCTTTATATGCTGCGAACATTTTTTTGTAGCTTATTGTTGGCTGTCTGACAAAAGGATTTAAATATTAATGCTCATGAATTTATTAATTTTGTGAAACTATTTGGAAAGTAGTAGTTACATCTATACGTTTGTCTGTGTATTTATAGTGAAATTTCAATAACACGATTTTTTTATTAAAACCACTGAAGCATGAGAGTATTGAGTTGGATTTATAAAATAGTGAAATTCAATCATGTTGACATTGTCTGTTGCCATTTCATTTGACATGAAAGCAAGATTATTCTGGCAAATATTTACTAATTGAACTTACAAATTTAATTATTAAATTGAAAATAAGTTTGTCAAATGCAAAAATTGTTAAAATAATTCCAAAATATATTTCCCGCATCATTATGCTAATTATACATTTATTAATTTTATGCAACTTTTTTAATTAAATAATAAAAATAACCCAACGACAGGCGTAAAAATCAATTGAAGTGACCTAGAAATGGCTGTCAGATCATTAACATGTGTCACCCGCAAAGGACACAAATCCAAAATCATGTGCGTGAGTAGGCGTGGCCTTTAGGCCTTTATAAGCTTATACGCTTGTGTGTGTGTGTGTAATTCAGACGAAATGAACGTTTTGTTGCCTTGCTTTGGTTTTTGACATTTTATTGCCGACAACATTGTTTAGCCTCAGCCTTTCCCCTTTCACCAGGGCTTGAAGTAATTAGGTTGAAATTACAAATTATGGGGTCCATGTAGCAGATTATTACGACACAATTTGGAGAGCGGCTAAAAGGGAAATGGCCATGACTACTGTTTCACTTGGGGGAAATTACGATGGCAAATCAGGAGAGCAGTGCGGGAGAGGAAAAACAAATGTTTGAAATGTTTTGCTTTTCCATTTTGCGGGCCTTTTTTCACAACAAACGGACAACAAACGGCAGCAGCCAAACCGAAGAGAGCTCGTTAAAAAGCACTTAGGGGCCAAAATCAGGGACGGGGGCAGTTGGGTAATTATGATGCAATCAGTACGCCAGAAGTCCACTTTTAGGCAAGAGAGCGCAATCACAACTTAACAAGCCCAAGCATGTATAAATTGTAGCTAACCAAAGTTTCCGCTAGCGCGGAACTCAAAGAAAGCCTTTCACTCGCAAAATTCCTCAGATTGTGACAAGTGAAATTTTCTGTTCCCTCTTTTCCACTGAAAAGGGACACGGATAAGAGCTGAAGGCTTGGGAATCCAAACGAAAACCGAATCGAGCCAAGACAAACCATAAAAGACAGCCTCAACTGCACACTCAACTTGGAATACAATGTAAATTTTGCTCAGAGGTAGCAGAAGGAATGGCATTCATGGCTGTCATCTCCTTTAGCCCGTTCGTTTCTTTCTTCTTCTTACTCACACTATCTCTTTCTGCACCCAAAGGCTGTCTCTTTTCTTCGCCACTCAGGCTGTCTTTTTCTGCGACAGGAGAATTGTCGGCCAGGCAGCTGAGCAATTTCTGCAGATCTGACAGCCAGCACAAATGGAATTTGTTTGCAGATGTCGAAGTACGGATACACTACGCCATCAATTTCGCAATATTAAATAATTTGATATAAAAAATAATTTAAATAATAAAAAACTGAAACCTAAATCCTGATATATTCTAAAGGAAATCATTATAAAGTCAATAACCTTGCACAACCAATCATAAGAAAGATTTCAGTTAGAAAAGCCTTTTAAAGACAGATATAAAAACTATAAAAATTAGTTTAACTTTTATTAATCTTCCTTTAGAAACAAATTTCTTTTAGTGTAAAACCAAAGATAATAAAATATTCAGAGCAATGTCATAAAGTGCAGCAAGAAAATGCATTAAAATTCGTTTTCCTTTCGCTGCCATGAATACGTCATTCTCATCCCCCAGAACTGCTACCAAAGAATCTTTTCCTTTATTTTCTTATTATTAATGCCACAAACAAACAAACAAACAAACAATAAGAAAAGGCAATGGAAAACGATTTGATAATTTTACATTCATTGTGTGCAGCCTGGGAGTGCTAATTAGTAAATGTTCTTGTTTTTCCCTTCATTATCCTTTTGTTCCAGCGAAGGGAAAAATAACAATCTAGTTGGAAAAGCCCCAAAGCAGTTAATGAGCTTGAGGCGAGAACACACAAGCTCACATTTCCTTGTGGTCCATTTCGGTAACCAAAGAGCTCATAGTTAGATTCGCAGAATTACAAGATTGTTTTTTTAGTTGGTAATATTTTGGCTCATTAAAAGTGTTCGAAGGTTAAAAGGAAATTAATTAAAATAAATCAGAACACTGAGTGCGGAATTTTTAATCATTTTTGGATGATTTTTCCATTCACTATCCTATGTAGATTTGTTAATATATTTCACTCATACTAAACAGATATTATTTGCATTAATAAGAGCTTCTCAGCTAAGCAGCATTTCCACCGTTTTACTCAAGGTTCCTAATATACTCAAGTACTTAACCAGCAAATCTTCCATAATTCCTGCAAATTTGAAAGTTCTTCGCCGCTCTTATTCCTTTTCGCTTAAGAACTTTCCCAGTGAACCCAATTAGAGTTCATTTCTTGGCAAATTGCTTCGTCTGACTGCGATTACATTTCAGATTTCCGAACTGTCAATCCCTGGAGCACTGCCAGCTTCTCTTTGAGATGCAAAAAAAAAAAAACAATTGATTTATTAATGCACTCGATGGGAATAACACCGCGCTCCTTGTTATCCCTACTTTACCGCATCCAGTGCAATGAACCAGAAAGATGATGATGTTTGAATAACGAGGCAAATGATGGGAAATAGACGAAGCAAAAAACAAAAGAAGACTATAAAAAAAATGGGGAAAAACCAAGGGCCGAATGCCGTGAGACTTCAGTTTTCTCTTAGTTGTTGCCGGCTTGAGGAGTAATTCCTTTACAAGCTGAAGGATATTAAAAACAAGAGAGGAAAGTCTGGTGGGGCTACTGTTGCAGCTAGCTAGGAAGCTGAGAGAATGTTGCATAAACTTAACATAAATAATGGAAGCAATATTTCAGCTGCAGAAGCCAGGATCCTGCAGGACGAAAAGCAGAGCACAGAAACGAGAACCCAGAAACGAGAACCCAGAACCCAAGTAGCAACAAATGAAGTTTGGATGACTTGCAGCGCCGGCTGATTGCCGTGAAATTTATGTGGCACAGGGCTGAGTGAGCAACCGTCTCTCGTCTTGAGCTTCAGCTGTATTTTTAATGAATTTTCCCCCGAATGCAAATTGCTCACAAAAAAAAAAATGGAAAAAGAAAAATGGAAAACTCCTTGCTCTCATTCGCCTTTTCCTTGGGTCCTGCTGCATTCAGGTAAAACGAACGAAATTTTTAACGATCCAACCGCAAAATTTATTGTCGCCTGCTGTTGCGGCACGAATTATTTTTATGACCAACCGCACTCACACAGGATTTATTTTAATTATTAAACACTTTCGCTTTTAAGTGAATTTCAATTACTTTACTTTTATATATCAGAGTATGAGCACTTAAAGTAATTCCTTCTTTGTAATTAACTCCTTTTATTTGGTAATTATGTTGTATTAATGATTTATTTATTGTGTTCAGTTTAGGGTTTTCCCTTTTTCTGATGGCAACTCGCGGGACTGACTTCTACTTCCGGAGCAGGTTCGAGTCAAACTGATTTCAAATCGTGTAGCTCAATGGCTCGCTTCATTGGCATAGGGAAAAAACCTTCGGCTTTCTCAAACCGAAGTTCTCGTTTCGTATTCACTCGTTTTGGAACTTCGTTTCTGAGTAAAAGGCAAAAGTTTCGTTAAGTTTCGAAAATGTTTTCAGCGCATGCGTCGTTTCTTTTTCGAACGTAACACGTGCTCGGCTCTGGCTGAGTACGGAAATTCGAAAAGAAAGCGGAACCCAAATCAAAACAACATTTTGCGCCCTTTTTTATATCGTATATCCCCCTCGAACTTTGGCTGTGTGAGACCAAAATGTGGGTGAAAAGAGCGTTGAGAAAGTACAACAACTGGAACAACAACTTGTAAGCAACGCATAAATCTCATTGGCCAAGAATGTGTAAGCCAAAATTAATTCCAACGAGCGAACCGGCAAATGCTGTTCCCTCGTTTGGTTTACGCTGCGGTTTTTAGGCCTCCATAAGGGTTGACTTGAACTTGAATGGGGATTTATGTGGGGATTGAGATTGCTTTTAGCCGGGCAAAAGGTAAGTTAGATACAAAAATAGCGAAAATTACAGGAAAGTTAATGCGTTTTCTGGGTCGGCATACTACACCTCTACTTCAGAAGATACACATAATCTTAAAATAATGATACCCAAATAGTGATCAATAAAGTAATTTTTAGTCCAATTTAAAATTTATTCTAGGCCCGCCCAAGGAAATTATTAAAGAAAGGATTAAATATGCTTCTCCAGCTTACCAACTTTGAAAGTCCCATGAACATGAGTTTCCCCAAGAACAGGAAAATGTCCCTAACAAACCTCGTAGGCGTGTCACCGCCTATCACAACAAGACTTCTTTTTGGCCTGGCTCGTGCCATCATAACGCACAAGCGCATCCACAGAATGTTACGCAATCCTTGGCCAAGTTGGATATATCCATTTCCCTCCCTTATCTTGGCTTCCCTGCCTTCTAAGAGCCCTACGATTTCTTAAGTTTTAATGCAAAATTTTGCTTTGATATCTTCTTGTTTGGTGGGTTAGGATGCTGTAGACGTTGTTGCTTTCCTGGTATTGTGGTGCCCCTTCCCCAAGCCAGTTGTGTCGGAAATCCAAGTTTATGTTTTCTTTATAAGTTCTTCAAGTAAACAAGGAACCCACTTCCTTTTTGCCAGGACCACCGCAGCGAAGGCCAGTTTTACTATGGCTGAGGGGGGTTTTCAGGAAGTGCGCGCTTATGCCAGGAATTTGTTTTGTCTTCGGAGTATTACAATATTGTTTGCTTTTCTGGCATATTGCGGTTGACTTTTGCCAGCTGCAATAAAAGCAAAAGTCAAGAACCAGATCCAAAAGCCCGAAAAATATGAAAAATCCATTGAAGTCTGGCTGTAACTTTAATGGAGAATCGCTTTGAGGTCCCTTTACGGTGTGTGTGTCTGTGCATTCATCACCCAACCAGTGAAAAACTCATCATAAAGTGAAGTGGATGAGAGACTCCCATTCCCACGGACATTGCAGATGGAGCTGAAGAAGGATTTACAGCATCCGCATATGGGCATCATCTTTATGCCAGTGTCTGCGGGCTGCTTCTTTTATATTTATTACATCATTCGATGGCACAAACTCGCATATTAAGTGGATTGATGTATTAATATTTAAACGGCGATTTGTGGTTTGTGGTTTGCGGTTAGCTAAAGCTGCTCGGGGATCTCGACTTGGGCCAGTGCTTAACCCTTGACCCTTTCACGAACATATGGCGGGCACTTGTGGGATAATGAGGCATCTGCATATCGATTGGACGAGCCATTCAACTAATCTTACCACTTTGTAGCATCTTTATTCCTTCTCCTTCTTCTGGCTGCCAGTTTCCTTGATCTGGTCACATTAAAAGGCGACACGCATTGTGGAGTCCCGTGCAAACTTTGTGTGCGTGCGTGGCTCATAAATAAAACATAAAGTCTCCCGCTTTTTATTTTTATACATTCTATACTGGGCTGCAGCCTCCGACAACTTTTCCGAGGTCGGCGAACATGCTTGGAAAATGTTTATAAAATGACGCAGAAAGCGTCCAAGTCATAAATAATGCGTTCGAGCTGGTGGAAACGGGGTATATAGAAGGTGGGATGCGAAGGAGGGGATGCAGAGGAAGTTGAAGTGTCGCAGTAATTTGAAATTAGCACGCGTTTGACATGCAAATATCGGGAAACAAGTTGATACTGCTTCTCCCAGCTGGCAATTACAGCTACAGCAGACAACGTGTCGTATGCGCAATATGCTACCCATAAGTTGTTCCTTCGAGGGGAATCTCTAGATGAGGGTCACTGTAAGATTTCCCTAATATTGACCATTCCAAAGAGTGCTCTGCATACCAATGAGCTGGGAAACTTTAACTTGACCCTAGTAGAGATCAATCTAAACTTTATTTCGTATTTTCCCATTATCCTTTCGTTGTTTACGGATGTCTTTGGCAAATAAATAAATTGTAGGTGACACGTGCACAATTATTTACAATTAATTACGTCTCTGACACAGCAGCACCCTTCGTCCCTCTAGGATGCCAAAGGTCAACGTCCTCCTCCCCCTTTTGATTATCTCACTCAAGTATGCGGCTGTGGGGCGTGGCATTTACCTAACCGCCCACAATGCACAAACTCAATCGATTAACATTTAATTGCATTTGCGGCTGCCCGAATTTAGGGCCACACATTCCGTAATCGAAGTTATTGTTGGGCTCTCTGTGCCAGAAATCGTCGCATAATGCCCGATCCCAGAGTGTATATATATTAGATGCGAGTCGCAGGCCGAGTGTGCAGCTCATCAGGTGCAGGCCACTCATCAATGAACAATGAAATTAGGAGCTGCGACCAGGAACGTGCCCTTTCCTTCCTCCCAAGGACTTCCATCAATCAGGGAAGCACTCAAGTGGCCTCCAAAGCCGGGGGGCAATTTAACCCGGATGCTAGGAGCAAGGAATCTCCATCCAAAAAATCACAAACCCAAAAAAGAAAGAGTCTGAAGGCGTTTTTTGTGGCTGACAACAAGCAACAAATACTTCCGCATTTCACACGGGTTTCCCAGGCCTGGAGTTTCCAAGGGGAAAAGTGGGTTGAATTCCACAAATGTTGCGCCAAAAATAACATTTGAATAGCAGGAAGGTTTTTATTCAGCCTCTTCCCAGACTAACGAGAATGGGGAGGAGGAAAAAGGTTTGGGAAGTGGCAGTGAAATGGAAATGTAGACGACTCTATTTGGAGGCATTTGGAGGGGGAGTGTTTCTTCATTTGCGACAGAGTGAATAAGTGACACTTTTTTTGCAGTTGTTTCCAATCGCAGACAGCAAACAAACAAAAACTGAACCAAAGTTCTGAATGATTTTTCTAAATTGCTCTGTTTGCTCTGCACTTTTTCCCTGTTCGGCAGTCTTTATTTTGTTACTGATCCGATTGAATATCGTTGGAACGCGTTACAGAACATTAATATTTGATTTTGTTGTTTGTTTTTAATTTACTCGAAAGCAAATTTGTTTAGCAATGCCCAGCTCACATCCCAACTCACATGAGCAGCAGATGAAAGTCATTCTCCCCCTAGAACCGCCCATTAAGTCCCCTTCAGCTGCTGTCTGATGCACTCCATTGATGGAAATCGATATTCGGATGAAGTCCTGCCACCGACACTGCACTCAAATCGACTTGAACCTAAAGGAGAAGTCGGAATACATCGCCCTGTTTTGTATTTCCAAAGATATACTCCATCCCTCTTAAACTTTTCCGTTCTAATGTGTTTCCTTGGAAATGCTAGGAGTCTCTCTGATTCCCATTCATTCCCATTCCTCCCAGTGTTGATTTATAAATATCTGTTATTATTTATGCCCACAGTTAAGCAGCTTTCCACATGCCCATGCAAATGCGTAAATATCCTTTTTAGTCAAGGACCTTCCTCCTCGCAGATTTATGTACTCCAGATGCAGGGCCAAGGCAGAGGTTACGGCAAAGCAAACTTCTTGACGCTTCTCAGACGAAAGCAAGTCCGAATCAGAAAGGATTTGACCCATTTGTCCGCCGTCCAGCTGGCCAGTCGCAAATTCGTTTGTTTGCCCAGTAAAATGTATCTCGAAATACTTAAATTCCATTTCTATTTTTCATCATCATCTGCATCAGCCCGGAGCTTAAGAGCTCACATGAGGGGAGGGACAGCGAGGATCCTTCTTGGAATGTGCCAGCTGTTAATATTTTGACAATGATGCATAAGTCCTGGACGGCGACTCCTACTGCCAGACAGACAGTTGGCAAGATGAATGTCGACAGTCGGATGAAATCCGAATCCGAATTTCATATTCAGGCCAGGACTTCTAGGACTCGACCCTCAGCGCTGACGCATTCCTAGTGTTTTGCCAGTTATTGTTTTATTGTTGCCATCCTGCTGATGCCCTCGTTTAACTGGCACCTTCATTAGTTATTCAAAAATTGTCGAGGTCGGAAGAAATATGGCCAGATGGAGTGGGAGGCAGAGGTGGAGCCCAACTGGAGTCGTATCACGACGGATTGGGTTGTCCTGGGCCAGAAGCAAAGTGCACATGTGGATCTTGGTGAAGAACAGAATGACAAGGGGCAGAAAGGATGACCTGACCTTAAGAGGAAATTTGTGTTTTCAGCTTGCTGCAGTTGCTGACCATTCGGGTAGCTTTAAGAGCTTATACAGGAACCGATTCGATTGTGGTTCGCCTAATGATTTAATCTGATATAAGTCCAAGTTTAGAGAAGATGTTCCTCTAATGACTTCAATTTTCCATTATTTCCTGATGGATTATTATAAATACACAACCAATTGAATGGCTAAGACAATGGAGCCATTACCTCTTGTTCGAATCTCTTTGGGCAGCAGCCTTCAGGCATTTCGGTTGGATTATTTGCCCCTCACTCATTGTGTTGAGTACAATCCTCATTTCCGATTAAATTTAACTGACATGGGTCGTACTTTTACCTCTATCCGGTTTTCGTTATACAACAAATGAGCGAATAATTGCGCGATACAAGTGAGTTACAGCGTTTTAAGCGCTCCAATTGCCAATGGCAGTGACAGCA